TCCACTTTCTCATTCTGAACTTCTAACCCAAGTGGGGTGGGTATGCACACTGGCTGAAACAGCTACTACGAAGCTAACATATGGAATTGTTTTAAGATGGTTGTAATGTAGTGAACATTATGCCATAATCCAGTTCCATGTTATACAGTAGCCAGACAGTGGGAGTGATATGCCGTGTGAACCATGTAATGCCAACATACTTCAGAGTAAAGTTAAACTAAAGTATACGAATGCCCCGACCTCAGTTCTTATAAACATCACCAATCTAAACAGTGGGACGTTACAATTGGCAACGAGTGAAACGCACAAGAGAAGAATGCAATTTACAAGACGAACTACGTGCCTATGTGAGTAAACGCAGATAGCAACAACAGCCAAGCTAACGGCAGAATCAGCTAGCTAACATCGGTCATTATGGTACAATAGCACGATGGCTAGTTTACCGAACTTTACGATGTTTGACATGCATACAGAAACCAGCTCAATCGGCTCGAGGTAGAAAAAATGGAAAAACAGATTCAAAAATGTTCTAGTGGCATTAGACATTGCGGATAACACACAGAAAAGGGCATTACAGTTACACTATGCAGGGTCGGATGTGTATGATACAGTGAGGGGAAAAAGTATTTGATCCCCTGCTGATTTTGTACGTATGCCCACTGACAAAGAAATTCAGTCTATCATTTTAATGGTAGGTTTATTTGAACAGTGAGAGACAGAATAACAACAAAAAAATCCAGAAAAACGCATGTCAAAAATTATATGAATTGATTTGCATTTTAATGAGGGAAATAAGTATTTGACCCCTCTGCAAAACATGACTTAGTACTTGGTGGCAAAACCCTTGTTGGCAATCACAGAGGTCAGACGTTTCTTGTAGTTGGCCACCAGGTTTGCACACATCTCAGGAGGGATTTTGTCCCACTCCTCTTTGCAGATCTTCTCCAAGTCATTAAGGTTTCGAGCCTGACGTTTGGCAACTCGAACCTTCAGCTCCCTCCACAGATTTTCTATGGGATTAAGGTCTGGAGACTGGCTAGGCCACTCCAGGACCTTAATGTGCTTCTTCTTGAGCCACTCCTTTGTTGCCTTGGCCATGTGTTTTGGGTCATTGTCATGCTGGAATACCCATCCACGACCCATTTTCAATGCCCTAGCTGAGGGAAGGAGGTTCTCACCCAAGATTTGACGGTATATGGCCCCGTCCATCGTCCCTTTGATGCGGTGAAGTTGTCCTGTCCCCTTAGCAGAAAAACACCCCCAAAGCATAATGTTTCCACCTCCATGTTTGACGGTGGGGATGGTGTTCTTGGGGTCATAGGCAGCATTCCTCCTCCTCCATACACGGCGAGTTGAGTTGATGCCAAAGAGCTCGATTTTGGTCTCATCTGACCACAACACTTTCACCCAGTTCTCCTCTGAATCATTCAGATGTTCATTGGCAAACTTCAGACGGCCCTGTATATGTGCTTTCTTGAGCAGGGGGACCTTGCGGGCACTGCAGGATTTCAGTCCTTCACGGCGTAGTGTGTTACCAATTGTTTTCTTGGTGACTATGGTCCCAGCTGCCTTGAGATCATTGACAAGATCCTCCCGTGTAGTTCTGGGCTGATTCCTCACCGTTCTCATGATCATTGCAACTCCACGAGGTGAGATCTTGCATGGAGCCCCAGGCCGAAGGAGATTGACAGTTATTTTGTGTTTCTTCCATTTGCGAATAATCGCACCAACTGTTGTCACCTTCTCACCAAGCTGCTTGGCGATGGTCTTGTAGCCCATTCCAGCCTTGTGTAGGTCTACAATCTTGTCCCTGACATCCTTGGAGAGCTCTTTGGTCTTGGCCATGGTGGAGAGTCTGGAATCTGATTGATTGATTGCTTCTGTGGACAGGTGTCTTTTATACAGGTAACAAGCTGAGATTAGGAGCACTCCCTTTAAGAGTGTGCTCCTAATCTCAGCTCGTTACCTGTATAAAAGAGGGGGTCAAATACTTATTTCCCTCATTAAAATGCAAATCAATTTATAACATTTTTGACATGCGTTTTTCTGGATTTTTTAGTTGTTATTCTGTCTCTCACTGTTCAAATAAACCTACCATTAAAATTATAGACTGATCATTTCTTTGTCAGTGGGCAAACGTACAAAATCAGCAGGGGATCAAATACTTTTTCCCCCTCACTGTATATTTGACACACTGCAAGATACCGGAGCAGCTGATGACTATACATTTTTGTCATTTAGCAGACGCTCTTATCCAGAGCGATTTACAGTTAGTGAGTGCATACATCATTTTATTTTATTTTATACTGGCCCCCCGTGGGAATCGAACCCACAACCCTGGCGTTGCAAACACCATGCTCTACCAACTGAGCTACAACTGACAAGCAAGACAAAACGAAAACAAAACCTTGGATGCTTACCACACAAGATTGAGGCAATTAGCATCCACATGCGAGTTTGCAAATGTTGAAAAAGAAATCAAGTCACAGATAATACTAAGCTGCAGTTCCACGCGCCTCCGCCGGATAGCGCTAACAGATGGTTAAATGACTCACCAACAACTACTTGATTTCCTTATATGAACTGTAGCTCAGTAAAATCTTAGAAAATTGTGCATGTTGCGTTTATATTTTTGTTCAGTGTAGGTATTATAGCTAGCAAATATATCCTTTTTATTTTCTAGAAACCTTAGCTAGCTAAGGTGGTGAACTCAGACTGATGGTGGGAGTTAGGTAACATTAGCTAACTTTCCCCCATCAGTTTCAATCTAGCTAGCTAATGGCATTTTTTATCAACTTTATCAATCAGATGGATAGCTTAGCAAATATAGCTATTTGTTTTCCCTTCGCATTTAAAGCTGCCTGATACAGCTTTGCAGTTGCTAGAGAAGTAGGATAAATAAGTCAGAAACCAGCTAGCAATGTCAAGTTCCGGCCTTTTAACAACAAAAATCCTGTACACGTATAAAATAGACAATTACCTTCAAGCAGATCATTTTAGTTTTATTCTAGAACTTCAGGCCGAGGAGTAATAGCCACTTGTTTGTAGAACTGGCATCTTCACCAGATGTTGTCCACATTCAGTTCCAGAGTGTTCACCTGAATGAACGTCACAGCTGCGTCATGCACTTGAGGAGGCGTTGCTTACTAGTGCACGTGCTTCACACAGTTCTTTCTTAATTTTTTTATTGCCATCTTCAATGGGTGTATATTCAATTTATATTGGAAAATGTAACTTGCAACATGGCCTTTAATAAGGCAACAAAGTCAGATTGCAGCGCTAACATGCCTGGTCAACAGTATGGGCAATGGCATACGTAAAGGCCACGATATACTGGCAATTCTTTGAGGCGATATTGCCGAGCAATAGAGCTAGCCAGCTTGTAGTCCTAAAACCCGGAAATTAATTACCTCTGGTTCATTCAGCCATCCCTCTGAGAAAATGAATGGCGAAAGAATAGAGCCCCACAGTGGAGGTGTCATAAGGGTTTATGGGTATTATGACACATACTGTGCTACTCAATAGGGTTTTGGAATAAATGCAGAAAAGAATGTCTGAGGTTATCACAGGCTTAGGAGATCTTGTACTGTATGTTTTGTTCTATGAGATAATAGCAGTCAGTTAACATGACCTTTATGAATTATGAAGCCTTATGTGCTTAAACTGTATATACATTCTTCAAAATTATTCACAAAAAGTGACGCTAGCTTATGAAGATTATCTCATAGAACAAAACGTATAAGATCTCCTTAGCCTGTATTTACCACAGACCTTATTTCCTGCGTTTATCCAAAAACGCCATTGATTTTCTCCATAAACTTTTTCCAACGAACAATGGTGGAGTTAGGGCCTACAAAAAGACGGCATTACTATTCTCTCCATGTTGCTCATCATTGCTCTAGTGTCTCATACCCAACTCCATTGCCAGCAACATTGCATGGCAATATTGGGCCAAAAAATTGCAAATGTATCATGGCCTTATTACAGTGCCGTCTGCATACAGATGAATATTACAAGTTAACAGATAGACCAATACTCTTTATGACATATAACTTTTTTTTTAATCGCTTTTGAACATATTCTTTATAGTTACTTTTCCTAAGAAAAAGTGTGCGATATTCATAATGTTGTGGGCTGTTTGGATCAAAATAGTGTGGAATGCTGGAGCGGCACTGCAGTAACATTAACACTGGTCACAACTACAGCACAGTAAGAGATACAATAACAACATAATTTGTATAAGAGCTGAACAAAAATATAAACGCAACAAGTAAAGTGTTGGTCCCATGTTTCATGAGCTGAGAAAAAAAATCCCAGAAATGTTCCATATGCACAAAACCCGCATCTCTTTTGAATTTTGTGCACAAATTTGTTGGTGAGCATTTCTCCTTTGCCAAGATGATCCATCCACCTGACAGGTATGGCATATCAAGAAGCTGATTAAACAGCATGATCATTACACAGGTGCACCTTGTGCTGGATACAATAAAAGGCCACTCTAAAATGTGCAGTTTTGTCATACAACATAATGCCACAGATGTCTCAAGTTTTGAGGGAGTGTGCAATTGGCATGCTGACTGCAGGAATGTCCACCAGAGCTGTTGCCAAAGAATTGAATGCCTTCAACGTCGTTTTAAAGAATTTGGCAGTATGTCCAACCTGCTTAACAACCGCAGACCATGTGTAACCAAGCCCGTCATTTTCCTGTCAAAGGAGAACAGGCACTACAAACAGTGGGATGAGGCCATGCTCGTCAATTAAGTGCATATAAGAGATTCTTTAGCATTTCAAAGCTTTCCGAGAAAAATGGGAGCGACTAGGGCTTTTTATGACGATCCCACATACTTCATGAGGGATTAGTCAGATGAAAGCCAGTAAAAAAATCCAAGGATGGAACATTTCCCTTCTCACTAGCACAAAGGTAGCCCGTGGCTTTGAGCTACACCCCAGAACAATCATTTGTAACTTCAAGTGATTTTAATTTACCTCGGCTGCCTTAAATAAATATATGTTGATGTACTCAAGTCATTACTCTAGCCATCTACTAATTGGGCCCTCAATTACCAGTGCCAACCCCTGGACAAAGTTTGTCATTGCAGTGTGTAAATAAAAAAAAGAAGATCAAAACAGTAAAATTTCACTTTTATTTCCAAATTGGACCAGCAAGTAATTGTGCAAGGGGGTACAGTGAACAGCAGTCTCAACTACATGGTTCAGACAACTTAGGCCAGACTTTCAAATGAAATGACCTTGCTGACGAGAAATACTAGTACTCATCTTACTGATGCTGTGGATTTTTTTTTATTGCTTGGAACAAAAATGGGAATCTTAAAAGGCTGTGACTTGGGATTTCATTAAAATGCTCGTCCATCATTTTCCCCACAAACATACAGACACATAGACTGGCATCCCAGACAGACATACTAAAGATTCTCATAAAAAAATAACTAAGCATAAACTAGATTTTTAAAAATGTGTTTCTCTCTTGCTTGTTGATCATGATCTACTGAACCACATCCAAATACGTTAGGGGATTTCTGCATGAGTGGGAGAGATCAGAGCCCTCTTTAACAGGGACTAGTCAGTCTCACCCCTGCCCCTTTCCATCACCATGTTCCCTCTACGGCTAACCTGGCTCAGCACAGGAAGTTACAGTCGGCCACAAACCCCTCCCCCACGTGTAGGTATTAACACAGATCCCTCTGGTACAGACCAACAAGGTCACCCTTCCCCTGCCTGAGGATACATCAGCTCTCCTGCTTGTCTTTGACCAGCAGGACTGTGTGCTGCCCACCGCTGGCCACCATCAGTACTATGCGGTTCTCCAGCTGCTTGCCAGTCATCTCTACAGGGCTCCACTCGTCGTCCTCCTCACCCGTGCCAAGCTGGAGGTTAGTGCCCATACCCCAGGCATACACAGACCCTGCAATAAACACACATCAGTGGACCATATACAGACACAATGGCCTTGGAGTCATTCCTATCACAATTACACACCATAATGTAGACATGCACAACATCAGCAGGTGATTATTATTTTATTTTTTTATAAACCAGAAGAAATACACTAGCCATAACCTCACCTTGTTTGGTGACAGCATAGCTGACCGACGCCCCACATGCCACCACCTGGGCTCCATCCAGTCCTTCCACAGGCGTGGGCTCGCTCTTCTCCTCTGCCCCCTGGCCCAGACCCAGACGCCCATACTCCGCCCGGCCCAGGCTGTACACCTTCCCTGTAGGAGGACAGAGACATCACATCTCGATCTTCCCAATTTGTGCTGCACTATGCAGTTGACAGATTCTTGAACAGTCCAAGTCATAAATTCCAAGTTCTGACATTGTTGATCTGATCAAGAGTGATTCAAATAAAAGATAGGCCCCGAAGCGCTTACCGTCAGAGTCGAGGCAGACTGTGTGGTGCTGTCCCCCTGAGAAGCCCATCCAGTTAATGGTGGAGTTTTTGAAGGAGGTAAGTTTTATTGGAACGAAGCATGTGTTGATGAGTTTGGTCCCTGGAAACATCAGTACAGAGGTCTATGGTCAATGAGTACAGTGTGACATTCTCTCCAACACACCCAACTGCAATTCTACAGCAGATCGGAGACTCAAAAAGTGTGCATAAATAACCAGGTTTCCAGCCAACCTTTCTATGCAAGTAAAGTACGTCGGATAAAAAAAAAAGTCACGACAGGCCTGATGGAAACAGCAAATGTGTCGGGAAACTTTCCAAATGTCAACAAAACACTAGACAAGGTGGAATTGCACAGTGATGAGTGATGCTCCTTTCCAATAAACATAGAGGGTCTTATTATGGTGACATGATTGATCCTTGGCATCCATGACAAAAAAAATTATTGCTCTTATCCATAATAACCTCATCATGTAGGCTAGCCTACCCGTACTGTATCTGCGAGCATTTGGCTAGAGCGCACATGCCAAGACCTATTTAAACTGTTTGTGACAAAACTAATCCGTAGAGTTGAAAATGCAATGGAAACACATTCAACTTTAGATGTTAATTCAGTACATGAAAACTTGAGCGAAAAAGTACCTTTTATGTGCACCATGTCATCACACACTGCTTTTTATACACAACAAGTCATTTGGTGGAAACACCACTGGTGGGAAACTGCGCATATTTCTTTATGCAGATTTTTCTATATTCACATGCAAATCTGTTGCCAATTAGATGGAAACCTAGCTATAGTTGAAGATAAATCAAGATCAAGTTGGAAGATTAACCCCCACAAGTTCTGTTACAGTATTTCTGAAGGTTGTCGAATACATTTTTATCTCATGCTCACCAAGCTGATGGTAGTTTGACAGTCCAAATCCGTAGACGTGGCCTTCTTTTGACACAGCAAAGGTCATATAAGCCCCACAGAAGGCATCTGTGAAGTGAACCTTGCCCCTAGACTGGACCTTCACAATCTGAGGTATCAGCAACCGCACTGTAATCATACAGAAACACAGTCACACATGTCCTGACTGTCACCCACAGCAGTCAAAACAGAGAATAATAATTGTGCAGATATCCATTCTTTATACGAGTGCTCACACCCAAACTACGGCTGAATGACTACTGTGTCAGAGGTAAATGGTTTGAGTTGGCACATACACAGCCCTTTCCTGCCCCCTCGGTTGGCAAAGAGCTCCGGCACCCTTCCCAGCTGCCCCTGCTCTCCGCAGCCTGATGTGTAGAGGTCACCGCTTGCGGTCAGCATCACCAAGTGGTCATTACCTGGGAGTCAGAGGTCATGAATATTGTCTTATAACCAGGGCAGCATTGAGCAAGAAACAATATGGTAGAACGCTCAGATATAGGACAAACATGCCTCTATGACATGCAGAATAAGGAATCACGTCAGTTCTAATCATATTTTTATTGAACGTGGCCCAGACCTCCGGGCAGGCAGAACTTCTTCAGAGAAACCTGAAAGCTTAGGGACAGATCCCCCATTTCTCACCTGATGCTATTTTCATCACAGGCCATCTCATGGGGACCTTGACAGGCACAATAACCTTCTTCATGGGCTCTAGTAGACCAATGACTCCGCTGTTATCCTAATGCAAATGGTACAATGTGTGAAATTAGTGAGAATTGCAGGTTCTGAATTTGGTCTATGATAGAGGTGGCATATGCTGCTGCTACTGTTTATTATCTGCTACTTTATTCTTAGTTATACAGTGCATGTAAATATCTACCTCGTACCACTGCACATCGACTCGGTAATGGTACCCTGTGTATATAGCCAAGTTATCATTACTCATTGTGTATTTATTACTTTTACGTGTATTACTTTCTATAATTTTTCCATTTTCTTTCTCTCTGCATTGTTGAGAAGAGCCCATAAGTAAGCATTTCACTGTTAATCCACACCTGTTGTTTACGAAGCATGTGACAAATAAAATTGTATTCCATTTGATTAGTTAAAGGCAGATGCAAAGGCAAGTCAACGGAAAGTTGATTTAAGATTTTTTGAGTAACGGAATGGTGCATAAACAGTTTCCAGGGTGTTAAACCCTGTCACCTACTCACCCTGAAGGAGCCCCAGATGTAGACTGCACCGTCTTCTGTGAGTGCAGCTGTGTGACTGTCCCCAGCAGACAACTGAACCACCCTCTCGTCCAGGGCCACTTTCCCCGGCACCATCTCGGCGCCCTCCTCTGTCGTCTCTCGGCCCAGAGCACCCTCGTCATTGCAGCCGAATGTGTAGATCTACACCAGAGACAAGCAGCTTGTTACCAAGTAAAGTCATATTTCATTAAGATACGGTTTCCCAGCCCCAGATTAATCTTAGTCCTGGTTCTATAATCACAAAGTGTTTCCCAAGTAGGAGTACTGATCTAGGATCAGTTTTACCTTTTAAATTATGAATAAGAGCGAGGTGACTTGATCCTAGATCAGCACTCTTACTATGAGCCAGTCTTAATTTTGGCAGCTATTTTAGATTTTGCCTTAATCTTTTAGTCTTAGCTATCAGGCCGTTTAGTAATTAGATCTTTCATAGTTATCAGTCGACTAAAACTCTGGACAATTTGTCCAGTTTTAGTCACATATTACTCTACAACATTTCCCCCCCATGAAATAATTCATATTTACCTCCAACTTCGATAATGTTCACATTAAGATAGCCTTGTCCAAATAGGCCTACTATCCCCACATAGCTGGCAACATTGCTTGTGGCAGATTGTAACCAACGTCAGCCATGATTTATCATATATGCTACAAAGCCTTGGCTACAGGTTAAACAATTTAGGCCTATACAACACAGATTTTCTCCCCATCATAACCTTGTGATGTGGGTAAATAACAGTGATTCCCTTTAAAATGGGAGAACCTGAGCTTTCCAACAACTCCAAAATTATTAATGTATTCCTAATATTCAGCAAATAGCATTAGTATTTCCAATCAGGAAAAAGCAACTGCACTCGCATTTGCCGACCACGAGAGAGGCAACACAGATGAATAACAGCACACATGGTAATAGAGCTTCTGATGTGATCAAAGCAAAAATAGTCTATATGAGGGTAAACATTATTGGTTCTAGTTGAGGTTAGTTACAATTGAAGTGTCCTGGCTGTGCATCAGTTCAAAAGAGAGGAGTGACTGGAGTGACCGCCTGGTAGCTGTGTGTGTGGGAGAGACAGATCAGCTTAATCAGCCAGCGCAACTGAAAGATCAATGAGAGGATTGCATTATATTCCGCAAAGGCATGCATGCTTATGATTGGACACAAACGGCTCAAAGGGAGATCAAAAGGAGCTTCATGTGAAATTGAATGTCAATTAGTATCACGTGGAATTCTCATCACATTTGTCAACTAAAAAGTAATTTTTAATAGTTCGCGTTTTTCTTCAGGGCATCTCATCTCGTTATAATTTGTTTTTGTCAGGAAAAATAGGTAATTGACGAGTATTTTTTGTAACTTGACGAAATAAACACTGCTCTGAGCCATTTCATGAATACAGGGCCTGAACTAAAAAGCATTTAATAGATATTCTCAATTGAGCATGCTTTTAAAGACCAGTAGCATGCTTAATCTGGATTTATGAAATTGGATGCAGTATCTGAGACAGTTGTAGTTGGATCTGCCGCCTTCACTCACATTTCCAGTGTCACTGAGACAGACTGTGTGCATGCCCCCCGCCGCCACCTGCACCACGCCCTCAGGCAGGGTCACCAGGGCCGGCCTCTTCCTCTCCATGATGTCCTCTCCCAAACCCAGCTGTCCTACGTCCCCTTGGCCCAGCACTAGAACCAGACCCTTCTCCTTCCCATGGCTGCTGTGGGAAACTGACACAGTATTATTTAATCCAAACTGTAGTATCTTTATGACAACACGCATATGGCACAATTAACAAGCACATACGCTGATGATGATTCTATTTCAAAGGAGTCCATTTTGCATACTAGGGTGTGTTCAAGTAGGCGGCTTGACGAAGAGATTGAACATCTCACAATAGACTTCATATTGGCTTAATGGAGTCAGAGTCCGTGGCTTACCTTTAACTTTCTTAGGATCCTTTACTTCCTCTGGTTTACTTTCCTTCTGTCTCTTAGGAGCCTTCTTTGCAGGCATGGCGGCAACAGACCCTGCACAAAACACACAACTAGTGTGAGAAGGTTTGAGGGGGAAACAAGCCTGTAGGAACAGAAAATGAAGATTGCATTTAAAATATAGCAAACAATTGTTTTAGGAAGGTCATTAGAGGAAGCACTATTCCAGATAATAGTTCCAATACTGGGGTACAATAATATTACAGCAGTAGGATATCAGTTACAAAATAAATGTGACCTATGGAAGAGGGCAGTGTGGTTTTGGACTTGAACAGATGTCAGGAACTAGCTATTATTCATTCATTCAAATGGCTAGCCTAACCAGTGCGGACAGCTGTTCCACAAGATGTACGTGCAGCGAGACTTGGACTAGAGTAGGGTGGTATGGAACGTAACGACAGACAGGCATCGATGCTCTGCACAACAATATAGCTAGTTGTTCCTGGCAGCAAACAAAAAGCCATTGCAATTCAGCCTCACTATTGCCCGACTTGATTCTGGCTAGCTAACTAGCTCATAACAACCTAACGTTACACAACCATCCTGTTAACTTTTGACATGTGGCTGATACACGTCCCAAGGACATGGTGATGGCTATAGCTACTGACCTCAATTGTCGGTACATTTGTTAGACTGGTGTATATTGTTAAAGTAAATACAGAACTTACACTAACCTGGTCAGCTAGTTTGTTACCTAGAACTACGCTAATGTTACCATACAAGCGCCTGTGATTGCAATGACAATGTTAGCAAGCTAAGTTAACATTTGACAAATTAGTTTGTTTAAACCAGAAAGTGTGCTAACGTGTGCGCTATTTTACCAACACAAAATAACGCTAACTAGCTACATTTTAAAGGGGAAGTTTAGGCTAGCTAACATTTCCAAAAGGAGTTGGTTAACGTTATCTGAAAGTTAGCTTGCTAGCTGATTCATTGGTACATGGTTGAAAATATCCGGCTAAACGAATCCAAATAACTAAACAGCTCGTAGTTATATTAAGATAACTCGTATATCCCGTTTTCGCCCAGGGAAAATATTAAATACCTACATACTTGCCTGTACCCTGGATCACTTTGGTATCTAACAGCGATGAGGCCACACTCATTCAGTGTACTGTAGGCTATCCCAGTCTGCAACTGTTCCACACAGACCACGCGCCCTAAGTTTTTAAAGAGACAGTGGCCGCGTTAGAAATCTGTCTTGCCTATTACTTACTGAAACTGCACACTGTATGTACTATTTAGAACGTACGGTTGAGTAAAAACGATTGCAGTCTTAACGTATAAATGAAATTGTATGCATAGACTTGACAGACATAGTAGCAAATGGTAAATGTTGAAGTTTTTTGCACACATATCCACCCAAAAAAAGTTTGACTGCAGAATTGTCAGTCTGATCAAGGCCTTAAATCGCTCCGCCATTTCCTGGTTGCTTTAATTCTAATAGTTTGCCTAATTTAAGTTTATGTGACAAAACAAGCACTTATAGTGTAGAGAATCATTGTACCAGCTAAACCGCTGTGATATATATTTTCCATAACCAAAAATATTGTATTTTCAGCTGTTTGAAGCTGGTGTACGAAACTCAAAGTAAAATAAGCAAAAATTAAACTTAACGGGGAGCATAGAAATAGCGCACATAGAACAGATCTACCGCTTCTTATACTTGCTTTGAATGAGAATGACATATCTATAACTCATATTTCTATGTGAATTTGGTCGGTTTGGCCCAAAGTTAAATATTGCAGATTTAACCGAGCCTGTCACTAAAACAAATACTATCACCATCAACTGGCCGTTTTTAATCTCTACCACATACACGTTATCTCCTTTTCTTTCCTAGATTCCTTTCCTTCTTTCCGAACTTCCTTTAATTTCCTCCTTTCCTAACTTCCTTTCCTTCTTCCATTCCTTTCCTCTCTACTGGTCGTGGTTGATACCTGCCACATACAGGTAACTGCCAAAATAAAGGAAACACTCGAGTAAATGAGGGATACAAAATATATTGAAAGCAGGTGCTTCCCTAAAGGAAGCTAGGAAAGGAAAGGAAGCTAGGAAAGGAGGAAAGGAAAGGGAGCGAGAAAAGGGAGCTAGGAAAGGTAGATAGGGATGGAGGTGAGGAAAGGGATGTAGGGAAAGAAAGGAAGCTAGGAAAGGATGAAGGGAAGCTAGGATAGGAAAGGAAGTTTGGAAAGGAGGAAAATAAAGGGAGTTAGGAAAGGGAGCGAGGAAAGGAGAAAATGAATCTAGGAAATAAAATTAGGAAAGGAAAGGAAGCTAGGAAAAGGGAGCTAGGAAAAGAGGAAAGGAGCTAGGAAAGTTAAGGAGATAAGGATAGGGAAGGAGGAGAGAAAATGTAGGTAGGGAAAGAAATGAAGCTATGAAAGGAGGAAAGGAAAGAAAGCTAGGAAAGGAGGAAAGGAATCTGGGAAAGAAAAGGAGGAGTATGTGGTAGGGATTAATGATCTAAACCTAACCCAGTTTGTATTTTAACGAATACCTCAGAGAAATAGTTGCAACCCCCTTTGCCTTGATGACAGCTGTCGTATCTGATGAATGGTGGTCATTATTGCTGTCAACAAAGAGTCCGTTATGCTGCATCGTGTTAGAGGCTTTTATTAAAATCACGAGGTTACAGCATAAATGACAGGTGACATGACACCCGGGGAGCGACGCCTCCGAATGGCTGCTCGCTCTGTCTTCTTCTTCGTTTAACCCCCCTATTTATAACCAATGAAGCTCCCTCTTCTGGCCAATCCCCAGTCTCCCCTGTCTACAAGACACTTCCGGTCTGTTGGATGTGGCGTTACACCCAAAACATTCCCTCTGGATACTAACATAAACACATTCCATTTCTTCATGAAAAACATTTAACAAAGGCATAATCTTCAGATACGATATTCCCCCCTTCGAGACGAACTAAACGTCTCGAAAACAAACAGAATAGGATTATGACTAGTAACAATTTATCTTATTGAGTATCTTTAACATTAAACCAAAAACATTCTTCTCTAGAGTGTAAATACCTTTCTATGCAATAACTGTTTATGAAGTGTGAATACATTACTATGAAATATGAACAAATCTCTATGGAGTGTAAGAGCGAAAAACTGTCCGGCAGCCATCTTTTCAGATATCCATCCATCAATCAAAAAAGACAGTAAAATTCTCTCACGGTCCCTCTGCCCCAGGCAACCACCGTCGGTACTCCAGATAACCTCATAAACCATGTAAATGCATTTAAACTATGATGCAATTAAATACACATGTAAGCCCCTGCAAACAAAATCCTATCCAAAAACATCCACTCTAAAGGCTGGTCAACCCATTGGACCCAAAAGTGGAACTCTCCCTTCCTAGCCTCTCTGTCCCTAAACATTCACGAAATAAACAAAAACATCTAAGATCCTCACATGTATTCAATAACATCAAACATCATTCTACAAAATTAATCCCTGAGGCTATTACACAATTATGTATTACACATGTCTATATTTCATTGCAGACACTGGAATGTAGTCCACTACACTTCATCTCCCTGTAGTCTCGACTTCCAATGGACTGTTGATGATATCGGCCACACCCTCCTTGTTTCATCTCCTCCAGTCATATTGTCCCTTCATATTGTCTTTGTTTGAGTATTTCAATCTCCATATGTTCCCCCAAATGCTTCTGAAAGAAAAGGAAACGACCAAACAGTATCTTTTGCAAAACAAACACTTTCAAATTAAACATGAATATCAATTAAGAATATAAACTGATATATAAATGATGCATGAATCACATAAACCTATTCCCCCCTTTGATTCATAAATCATACCAACATCACCCTAATATTGGAAAACAAAAATTTGAAAAATGATCAAATAATCAAAAATGATATTTATCCATCAGTTCCACTTGTCCATCTTTATCCAGATCAGGAACAGTCAACACCGGCATCTGAGTGTTGTCTCCAGGCATCATTCTCCAACCTATCTCAATATCATATCTTTCTCAAAGATCAGTAACAAATTACAAACATCACAGTGTTATCAAAGCTGAAACTAAAATCTGACCCATCACTGCCCCTACTGGGCCTAACTGATCTTGCAACCAAGTCTTACAAATGCATCCCTTATTTCCTTCAATGCATCTATAACCCCAGTGATATTATCTGAACTATCTGGACTCAAAGTATAACTAACATTAATCAATATGATCTTCCCAAATGCTACATCATACCATGAATGAAGTCCCCCCTTCTCCCTTAGACTTATCCTTCAATGATAGGCTTGAAGCCTATGACATGTCCCTTTTCATCCTATTTTGAACTCTAATTTCAGATTGATCTGTGTTCGGTGCTACTCCTCTTTTAATAGTAAAAGCCTCATATGGAAGCTTCAACGTTGACATTAACAACATCCTATCCATCCATAGGATAAGAATATATATGCTTTATCATCACAAACCCACCAAATATCTCTAAAATTCCCAATAGTCACATTGTCAGGCAAAAGCTAATCTTTTAACCCTCAAAGTCCTGCTCCTCTTACTACCTGGTATATTAAAAAGTAACCTTATATTTCTCATTACTACCCTTAATGTCATGCTTATCCAAAGTCATCATATAATCATCACAATCTGATATTCCCATAAACATACCCTTTACCTCATATGTTTTATTAGAACAAAAACAACTTTTAGCCCTCAATGTTTCACCTGAATACTTCAGGGTTCCGTTGTTACCTGATTTTCCTTTCCCATTTAACCATTCCCATAGGGTAATTCATTTAACCAAGAACACTTAAACCTAGGCTTAAACCACTGTTCTGACAACGACATTATTTTATCTGTCAATGACTGTTGCCAATACCACAGTCATGACAAAGCATAAGACTGACCCATACCTGATAGAGGCTGCGCGACCGTCTAACATGTTTGGTGCTGGAATTCTCAACAGACATGGACCCTCAAGATTCCTCACTGATCTTACAGAATGAGTTAATCTATCTCTAATTTCCACAACAGAAGAACGAGCGGTACTGATCAGATACCTCTCCTTGTCTGTCATCAAAATCAAAGATCTCATCCTGTCCTCCATGATGAATCTATATTCTCTCTACTACTATCTGTTCTCCTATTTTAACCCCATTCGTACTATCATTGACAGCACTCTCCATCCGTAACATAACCCATGAGTCTAAAATTCCCCATTCAATTTCAGAAAAGTTGTTGTCGATGTCATACTCCCTCTTTTGCTATTGCCATCGTATCACTAATCCCTTCCAAAGTTACCATTAAAGTAGTTGACTTAATTGCTGTATCAACCCTAATTACTTCTAGTGCAAAAGTTCCCATTATCCTCTGTGTATTATTCACTGTTGGAGTGGCTACTGTAATCTACTCCTCCTGAACTCCTTCGGTGACTGCGGAAGCTTCAACAGATTTCAAATCTTCCATTATAGGCATCACTTTACGAATTACATAGCCTTTTAACCAATAATTCTTAACCGGAACAAATTTTAATGCTTGCACTAGATAAGTACACATATATTCTCCCTGACCTTTCTCTGTAACATTACGCAACATAAGTGAACAGTCACTCCTAACCTCTTCCAAACTATACCTCCTTTGACTAGGTGCAACAGCTTCTACTCCTGGTCCTGATAACAATACTTATTCTCCATAATTATCTCTCCATATGAGAGGAACGTCTGGGGGGACATCCTAACCCTAATAAGTATTCTTTCCCCTAAAATTGGTGCTGTATTGGTTCCCTTATAATCAAATGCGATATATTTATGGCTTTAATAACTATCAATGTTGAAAGAGTTAAATTGCTTCTTACTGTTGTTATAATAGACTGAAGTGTTAATGTCCTTAGTTACTCCTAGTTTTTCCCCAAAGAAAAAAGTTGTCTTTGCTTGTACTTCCATCTATCACCACTAGTGTCACTTTTTCCCCAAATCTCAGTCCTTTCTCTAAATCCCTGACTTTAAACTTTTGATTACACAAAATACACCTATAATTACCTTGATCTTCCTACTCTACAGTGTCATTCACCATTGTTCTCTCTCTTACTACTAACTTTGAAACTTAGCTTTCTGTCTCAGAGTTCCTTCAACCCTAATCTACTCCTAACTTATT